GGGAGACCATAACAGAAAACCACAACCAATTAAAAGTTGTAAAGCCCAGACCCAAGGGTTACACACACACACACACACACACACACACACACACACACACACACACACAAAAGCTCATAGATCATAGCAGAAGAAGATAGAGTTGAATGATTGCAAAAGCCAGATGATCAGGGACTTTAGTGTGAGGTTCTGTCTCCTAGGAATGTTAGAAGCTACACCCACAAATTCTCACCAATATGATCATCTAATTATGGTAATAATTTGGACAACAGAATAGTCATGTTAATCTTAATGGATGAAAGTTCAAGAGTTCTCAAACCTACCATGCAGACAATTGATTACCAATAAATATTCTACTGCATATTATCATTAGCTATTTATGTCATATCTCAGGTGGCCAATGCATTTGCCACCAAACATGACTACCAGAGTTTGATTTACAGAACCTAAAATCAACTACCACAATAGCTCTTATGGGCATGCTTGCACTATGTCAGGCATGCACATATATGTACATACACACATACACACACCCTAAAGAAATTTTTTTTAAAGAATGGCCTTGGGATATTGAAATTCCATACACTTGAAATGATTTAATCTACTTTGGTTTTGTGTGCTATTTTGATAACTCTATCCATGTCCCTTTTTTCTCCTTATAAGGATCTATTTCTTTCTTTCAGGGTTATTAACTTTATCTTCCTCTTTGTGAGCACTTCAGATGGAGTCATGCAGGTGAACTGCACTATAACTTCTCTGTGTTTCCAGATGCTGTTTGTTTAGGGACTATTGAACTGGCAGCCTGCTGTAATTCATGTGACTTAGAGACCTGGTTTGGATATGTATATCTTTACAGAAAGGTTATTGACAGTAAGGTTAAAGGACACTAGGACCATATGTTCTTCAGACTGCCCTATAGGTTTCTCAACTCATTTGTTCTAAACCAGTGCTGGACAGGTTGAGATTAAAGTGAATTCATGCCCAGCAGTATGGTAGATGCTGTTCCCTAAGGGAATGAATTTCCTGGGAGGAGAATTCAATTCAAATGCCTTCTCTCCAGTTATTTTCTAGCTTTAGGCATGGGGAAGAAGATTCCTAAACTCAAGAGCATGTAGAACAAAGGCTGAATGCTTCATTCCAAACAACTTCCTGGAGCGAAGGCTATTTCCCTGTAATTAGAGATACTGCATGTACACTTGTGTAAAATCTTGCTTTCTTGCCCACCCTCTTCCTCAAACTTCCAAGTACTGTAATACTTTAAAACAGTTATATATGCTCTGGTGACCCCCCAACCATAAAATTCTTTTTCTTGCTACTTCATAATTGTAATTTTGCTACTGTTATGGATTGTAATGTAAATATCTGATATGCAGATGATCTTAGCAGACCCCTATGAAAAGGTCATTCAATCACCAAAGGGATTGGGCCTCACAGGTTGACAAGCCCTATTTTAGAGTATAACATGAGAATGTAAACTAGTTGTAGAATCAAAGCCTTTCAGGAGACATCCTGACTTTGGCCCATAGGTGACATCTCCTCTCTTCACTCTCATTGGTTTTTGAGGACTTATTCCATAAAGATCCCCACAACAAATTCACCTGAATTAAAGATAAGAGTATTCAGTTACCCCTTAGAGTCTGTGACTCCATGTGAGTATTTGTTTTAACTTCCATTTAGAGTACTAGGCATGGATTCCCTCCTCTGGAGTGATTCTCAAATCCTATCAAAAAACATCTGATTACATAACAATATTGCCACTGTTGTGCAGGTGTACATGTCTTTCTTGTCATTTTTGGCTAGTAGATGTAGGATTACTGAAAATGTAAGGCCATCAGTGCTTTACTTGCCCCAGCAAACATGAGAGTATCTTCCATGACTATGAAATCTACCCAATCAGGAAAGAAACATCTAGTTCACTTCTACCTTGATTTCTCTATTGCACATCTGAAGTGCATTGTGTCTTAAGAAATATTTTCTTATCATCATCCAGTACTTGTGGGTAAACAAGACAAAAGACAGGCTACTCTAACTGTTGTGCAATTTCTGGATCATCCTTGACCAACAACTAATGATATATTCACCCCTGTTACTGGGGATTTGTTTAATAATGCAGTTCTGGGAATACTATTTCTAGTCATATTGAGTATAACCAAATTTTACTTTAATAATTTATATTTTTATTTCATTTATAATATAGTAGGTTTCTATGCAGCTCCTTTATATCTATAATTCTTGTTTATTGGGCTATTTATTTTTTGACTTTTGAGTTTTTATGTATTCTAAATGTCAATCTTTTTTCATATGTACAGTTGGCAAAGACTTTCTCCCATTCTGTAGATTGAACTTCAATCAAGTGACTGTTCCTTTTGATGTGCAGAAGCTTTTTAGCTTCAAGAGGTCCTAATTGTCAATTTGTGATCTTATTTCTAGAGTTATCACTTTCTTTGTCACTGTTCTATTGCTTTGAAGAGACAACATGACTAATGCAACTCTTATAAAAGAAATCATCTAATTGGAGGCTTGCTTACAGATTCAGAGGGTGATTACATTATCATCATGGCAGGGGGCATGTTGGCAAGTAAGGCATTGAGCACTTTACATCCCAATCCACAAGGAGCAGGGAGAAAGCACTAGGCCACATGTGGCATTTTGGAAACACAAACATGCTCTATCAAGGCCACAGTGACTCCAAGAGGCCACACCTACTCCAACAAAGCCATACCCAATCCAACAACACCACACATCCTAATCCTTCCCTGAGAGCCATTAAAGGGAATAAAAAGGAAATGTATGAGGCTATAGGGATTGGTCTCATTTAAAACACCACAGTTTTTGTGTTGTGGAGAGAGTTCTTACCTGCCTTTAAGTGACTTACCAAACTCTCTGACAGCATATTCCATAGCTTCCAGATTTTCAGTTTGAGGTTGTATATTGAGATATTTGAACAACTAGGAGTTAATGGGGGAGATATAAAGATCTAATTTCATTTTCTGTATATGTGCACATCTGTGTTTCCCAGAACAATTTGTTAATGATTTTGTCTTTCCTTCTCTGTTCATCAGTTTGTTGGTTTGTGGGTTTCTATATTTGTCACACAGTTTACTCTAGTTGCTTTGACAATTTTGAGTATTCAAATCTGTTTAAATAACCTATGCATTTGTCTCTGCTAATACAATAGTGTTTATTATTCTACCTCTATAGTATTGCTTAAGATTAGTTATTATAGTTCCCCCAGATTTACTCTCTGTACTCAGTTTCCATGTGAATCTTAAGATTTTTTTCCCCTGAGATTAAAGGTGGTGGTGGCACATGCCTTTAATCCCAGCACTTAAGAGACAGAGGCAGGCAGATCTCACTGCATTCAAGGCCAGCTTAGTTTATAAAACAAGTTCCAGGAGGCTAGGAACCTTGCCTAGGAAAAAAAGTGGGGTTTTTTTGTTTGTTTGTGAAGATGTTGCTCTGGTTTGCATTATATCTACAAGTAGATTTTGGTAGGATGATTGTTGTCTCAACATTATTTCTTCAAACCCATCAGTATGTGCATTCTTTTTGACATTTGGTGTTAACTTTGATTTATTTCTTCAGAATTTAAAGGAAAATTTTGAAGGTGAGAGAGATGACTCAGCCTTTAAAGATGCTTGCCACTAAGTCAATCACTGTGACCTACATGGTTAAATGAGAGAAGTGACTCTCTGACTTGTACATGTGTGCCCACTCACATACACACCAATACAAAATTCATACCAATACATGCAAGTAAACATAAATGAAAATTTTAAATGCCCCTTTATTACTTCTCTGATACCTTATTGGTTTCTTTATCATTTGTTTGTTTCAATGATTTGTCATAAGAATAGAAAGATAATATAATATATGTCTCTCACTAAATATGTTTTTTTGGAGAGAAAAGCATTTCAAGTAGAAATTACCAGTACAATTTCAGAGGTAAAGAAAGTCTGTTAAGGAAAATCAGAAGACAGAGGAGGATGGATACTACTTTTAGTAGGATGACAGAGGAAGTTTACTTCTAGTAAGTGACTGTCTTGAAGGAGAACAACCAGCCAGAAAATATCCTGAAATGAATGAAGGTAGCAGAGACCAGGTGCAAAAGTTCCTGTAGACTTCCAGGGTAGTAGCTATGTGGAGGTGTCAGCTACACTTTCTTTCAACAAACAGAACCAACGTAGGGGATAAAGAAATATTGTCCAACTATATTACTTGAGGGCAGCACTGGCGTACAGTGGGCTATCGTGGAGACATTAAGTTATCCAAAGATGCAAATGGCATTGTAAAGAATATGTGAAACATTCTGTGTGGATCACTGCATGCCATTGTTTGAAACAAGCTGGTAAACAAGGGATTTCCTATGGCTGTTAGAATGAGTGAGACTTACTGTAGTCTCCACTCTAATGCTGTATTCATGAGTTCTCTACAGAAGTAGCTTATTGACCTGCCTTTGCTGACTGTCTTGTAAAAATCACCTGCCCTCCCCAAGAGAACAGAAAATTTCCATTTCTCCATATCCATGAAGAATCATTCAAGTAACCTAATCACACTATTGGATATACTCTGATGTCCCTATCCCAAGCCAGCCTACTCAAAAAAGCAGGAGATTCCCACAGTTTGAGAAGCCCAGCACCCCAGGAGGTGAACAAGCCTCACATGCTCAGAAGCCAAGGCCACTACAATACTTATAAGCACAGTTTTCCCACACTTATCCCAACCCAACCCACTGTAGCCATGACATCTAAGGCACATTTCCAGGAGAAAGATTTTCATCATGAAAACCAATCAATAAAATTGATAGAGGTAAAAGAATCTACCAGAGTTGCATTAAAATTTTCAATATAAAAAATATTAAAAGTTGGAAATATATGTAACACACACACACATACACACACACACACACACACACACATATATATATATGTATATATACACATATATATACATATATATATGACATTCTGCCACATATCACTAAAACCCTTGGCCATATTTCATTTTAGGAGGAAGCAGCAGCTGTGCTCTAGTGAGGTAAAGTGTTTTTGTTCCAGTCTGTAGCACTGTGTGGGTGGGCTAGTATTCCACTGCTGACAGTAGTAAGTGGCAGCATCTTCAGCCTCCATGCTGCTGATTGTGAGAGAGTAAGAGGTCCCAGACCCACTGCCACTGAAGCGAGCTGGGACTCCAGAAGCCAGGTTGGATGTGCCATAAATCAGGAGTTTGGGAGAGGCTCCTGGCTTCTGTTGGTACCAGTGCAATCTACTATTGCTTATACTTGAGCTGGTTATGCAGGTCATGGTGACCTTGTCCCCTTGAGATGCAGCCATGGATGCTGGAGATTGGGTGAGCACAATTTCTCCACTGGACACTGTGGTCAGGAAATCAAAGAAAAGAGAGAGAGGTTAGTAGACATAGAGATACACAAATAACTTGATACCATCCAACATTCAGAAGAAACAAAATGGAAAGTAGTTTATCTTAGACTCAGTTTACCCCAGGGAAAATAATATTGGATTCTGAACTTAGAGCCTGTCTTACCTGTGACACTGAATAACATGAGGCTGAAAATCTGCAACTGAAAGTCCATTGTGTTTTCCAGTCTCAGTCACAGACTAATTAGTGCTCTTCTGAAAAGTACATTGCTTTAAAGCAACTATGAGCCATTTGTGGTTTCCGAGGTTGAAATATGCAAATAACAAGATATGGCCTAGGCAGTTCTTGGCTCATACACTCATGTAGTCTTTTATTTAGGGCAAACCTAGGTAATCCAGAACAGCGTTTCTTTATTTATACATATTACACTGATAAAGAAGGACATTTCTACAGTTCATGAGTTCCCACTAGGGTGGCTGGTCATCTCTGCATGTTTTTCTATCATGTTTGCAACATCCATTATTCTTATGCAGATAAGTTTTATATTTCTCTAGTAGGAACACAAAATCATCAGTTGCATTATATTAAACTATCAAATAAATCAATATATTGCTCAATGTGCCTCATTATAAATAAAGTATAGGTTATCTCCATCAAGTCATTCCTGAAATTAGTGTTTAGTTCTCAAGGGCCCCCAAAATCTGAATAATAATCAGCTTGGGCCTACTGAGAATGAAGAATACTCAATGTTTTCTTTTATTTTGTTTATTTATTTTATTCTGTATGCATGAGTGTTTTATCAGCATGTATATATGTCTACCTTTTGCATGTTTAGTACATAAGGAAGTCAGAAGAAGGCTTCAGATGCCCTGAAACTGAAGTCACACATGTGAACCCCCATGTGAGTGTTGGCAATTGAATACAGGTGTTTTGAAAGACAAATAAGTGTTCTCAACTGCTAAGCTATATGTCCTATGGGACATCCAATCTTTTTTTATTTTATAATTTAATTTAATTTAATTTTACATATCAGCCACAGATTCCCCTGTCCTCCCTCCTCCCACCTCATCCCTCAAACCCACACCCCATTCCCATCACTTCAAGGGCAAGGACTCCCCTGGGGATTCAGTTCAGCCTGGTAGATTCAGTCAAGGCAGGTCCAGTTCCCTCCTCCCTTCACCCAGGCTGAGCAAAATGTCCTTGCATAGACTCCAGGCTCCAAACAGCCAAATCATGCATTAAGGACAGGTCCTGGTCCTTCTGCCTGGGAGCCTCTCAAACCGTTCAAGCTAATTGACTGTCTCACTTATGGAGAGGGCCTGATCCAGTTGGGGGCTCCTCAGCTATTGGTTCATAGTTCATGTGTTTCCACTAGTTTGGCTACTTGTCCCTGTGTTTTTTCCAAACATGGTCTCAACAATTCTCACTCATACAATCCCTCCTCTTCCTCACAGATTGGACTCCAGGAGCTCCACCTCAGGCATGGCTGTGGAACTCTTCATCTGCTTCCATCAGTCATTGGATGAGAGTTCTACCACAACAGTTAGGGTGTTTGGCCATCTGATCACCAGAGTGGGTCAATTTGGGCTTTCTCTCTACCATTGCCAGTAGTCTATTGTGGAGGTATCTTTGTGGATTTCTGGGGACCTCTCTAGCACTTTGCTTCTTCTTGTTCCCATGGGGTCTTCATTTATCATGGTGCAGAGAAAAACAATGACATCATGAGGTTTTCAGGTAAATGGATGGATCTAGAAAATATCATCCTGAGTGAGGTAACCCAGACTCAGAAAGACAGACATAGTATGTACTCACTCATGAGTGGATACTAGGTGTAAAACAAAGGATGACTAGACTGCTACTCACAACCTCAGCAAGGCTACCTAGTAAAGAGGACCCTAAGAAAGACACAGGGATTGCCAAAAGACAGAGAAATGGATGAGATCTATATGAACAAACTGGATGTGAGGGAAAGAGAGCTTAGGGGAGTGGGAGATCCCAGGTGGATCAGGACATCCAATCTTAACTTTCATATTAACTCATTTCCCTTCTGTCAGATTTGTTACTATGGATAGAAGAAATTACCAGAGGAAAGGGATCCTGCTGAATCAGAGAACACTGTTGCTAGATGGTCAATTTCTGAGATAGGCTTGTTCCCTTCGATGAAAGGCCCCGGACTTGCTAAATCTCCAGGTTCAGTAGGCTAACTGTGGGTATGGTCAATGCCAAGACAACTCTAAACAAAGTATGCAAAGCCTTGAAAATCTTACTTGGGGCCAAGTGAACCAAGAACCTAGACACTTCTTGTTTTTTTTTTTTAGTCTGACAATGATTTTTATCTCTAAGGCTGGTGTTATTACTGGATAGATATGTGTTAGTGGTGCCCTCTTCTGGTAAGATGGCCAAATGAAGACAGTGTTGAGTATTGTCCATTTTGGAATCCTGAGGTAAAGATGATTTCACAGTGAACAGTGCTAAATACTAGTGTACTTAAAAATAAAAATGCTTTTGTTGAAAACTCCAGAATGGGACTATTCTTTGCTCCCAGTGAACAGAGCCACAAGGAAGAATAATGTCCACACAGTCGCATACATGCATGCATTCTCCATTCAATGCCTTCATGAAGTATAGATACACCAATGAGTAAGTGTTAAATACAGCTGGAAAATAGTTTAAAGTGTATGTGTTCTTATGAGCTTACTAATACTTAGATATTTTGTACTCCATTTCTTATCATGAGTTTGCAAACAGCTGAAATGATATAGAATTTAATTATGGTAACAAAGGGACCAAGTTTTTTCATACAAATCTTTAATATAACAAATTTTGAATACTTTATATAGTTTTAAAAGAGTGACACATGTTTCTTGTGATCTAATGCCAACATGTGAGTTTTAGATGCTGCTGTTCAACATCAAGGAAGAATACTAATGCCACACATCACATTGCAGTAAAAGGCTAATACTTGCATATGAAATCACGTTTCTGTTGAAAATGCAACATTTTGGGGACCTTATCAAGGGGAAAGCTACTCAGACAAACCAATTAATATAGTCACACTTTAAGTGAAGACCTTGAAATTCCACAGAGGACAGCAAGACACAGGCTGTTGTTGGATAAATGTTGATGACTTTTATAGAAAATGACATCTGAATTGTCATAGCTTGCATAGCATCTTCATTCCAAGATATTAAGATGGATGACAAGAGGAGTAAATAGCATAAAGATGTATAGCCTTGTGGATCATCTGTTTAAACCATATGACATCCTGTCATTCAGGGGCACTCAATTCCAAGTAGCGAGGATGAGGAAGGAGACATGCATCTTGTTGGCTTTACTGTATTATTCCACAGCTGTCTGGGCATTGTTTTGTCACATGAAGAAGAATGGAAACAGGTCTCTGCTGAATGTCAGTATCATTTCAACTCCAACTGACCTTGTTCTTTGTAGTTCTCCCTGAGATACTCCACCTCCAAGAGTTGCTATATTTGGATTCCCAAATGAGAGACAAAATGTCAAGAGAAGATTATGGCTCTACAGTTATCATGAATCTTTCATTTTGAAAGGGTGGTTAGACTCCCTCCCTCTGGAGTACAAAGTTGTTTCTACTCCTTAATCCCTGGATATCATCCTAGAGTTGTGTAGTCATGAAGAGGGTCCAGGATGCATTTACCCTGGGCTAAGTTGAACTCAGACCCTCTAGGGAACAAACCTAAATCCAGTAGTCAGATAATCTGACCAGAGGCTCTTCTAGGGACTGGGGACAAAAAGACCTTGTTGAGAGACAACTCTGTTCCCCAACACACCTCCTCCCCTTGGCTAGAATGTTCACATGAGCTTTCAGAATGAGAATGTCCTTTAAAAAATGAGAAATGATAGACTGGAGAAGTTATTGAATGGTTAGAATCCAAGTTATTTTCCTAGAGACCTGGTTTCAATTCAAAGCATCCACCAGGTGGCTCATAAACCTCTGCAATTCCAGTTCCAGGGGATCTGATGCCCTCTTCTGAACTCCAGTGGTATTGTAAGCTAATGTGTAGGGTTAGGGTACAAGAGACATACAATCACAAAAAACAACCAAATGCCTAAAATAAAATGAAAAACAACAACAAGCAAGCAAGCAAGGGGAAAGTGTCAAAGTCATGTATGGGGTAGCTTCATTTATAATAAAGCAAACATTTGAAATAACTGGCATCAATAGTTAAAAGGAGTATATTTATTAAAATACATATCATGGTACATCATCTGGCTGAATACAGAGGATATCCTTTGATATCTTGAGTTCTGCTCTTCATGAATGAGGGGACTGGTCATCAGAGCATGTAGGTAGTAAGCCAATGGATCATTCTGGGGCTAAGAGTTGAATGCAGTTCTGTCTGTTTTAAATATGTACCTTCCATCACACAGATGACACATGACCTAAAACAGGAAAAAACAGAATGATAGTTTAAAATTCATACATTCCCTCTGCCTCTGCCCCACCCCAGACTTACCTTATATTAGTCCAACATCCACAAGCTCCAAATTACTTTATTTGAGATGAAAATCAGAGGAAAATATCCATTGCTGCTAACACTACCATTTTTCTACATTCCTTCCCATTATTATGGCTTCCTCCTGCACTGTCCTTTGCAATATTATAAATTCAATATGTCTTTTTGTAATGGAAGTTAAGAAGCAACTGCTTTTTCTCCATCCAGCTTCTGTGTGAGCTGATTAGAGACACTTAATACCCAGATAACAAGCTTTACCTAGCAAATTTCTAAAGTCTTTGAAATCTTGGTGATAGTTACCCATATAAAATTTTCCATGCCTCATGTCCAATTTTTTACAATGTAGCTTAGAGATCTGATTAAAGATTGTTAAGGTACAGAACATCTTCCATTCTATTGCATCAGGTTTTCATGGCTGCTCCATCAATTAGCATGGTTTCTTTCCCTACAAACAGCTCAGTTCTGAAGGTCAGAATTCTCACTAAAGTGTCGTGAGACTTTTTGTGTTCTTTGGGATGGCAGAGAGAATTCAAATCAATTACTTTCTAGCTCTGGAAATTCATGTGGGGAAAATCCTGCTCTGATGTGTACAGCCCAGACAAACAGCAAGACATTTTCGTACTGGTTGCTTTATGGTGGCCTAGCTACTTAGAGTCATGTCTCTATAAGACTCCTAAGATTCAATGATTCATTCTTTTGATGGTTACTGGTGATTATCAACTTGACAGGATCTACA